TGTGCGCACAACCTGCAAGCAGGATTCAGAGCTCCTTTATCCCTTCCTCTCCCCAGTGTGTTCCTCCATATGCATCCTTTTGTTTGTACAGCATGTCATTTCAGGCTTGAGTATGCTCCTCTTGGGCTTATATCAAAGGCTTATGATAACACATACAACACACATGGCTCTCCAGCCTGTGACCAACTGCCTGGAAAGCTAACCACAGCTCTGGTTGTGATTGTGGGAAGAGAAGATCCCATCTTCTGTGTGGCTCAACATTGCTATGTTTGGCATTTTCATTTAAGCTGTGTAATTATAGGAGGCCCCATGATACTTTGAGCCAGAGGTTTGTGATTTTCCTTTCAATGAGCTTTAAATCTTTAAAAACAAGGTAATTAATCACATTGCCAGCATGTGGAGGAATTCCACACTTCAGTTGTGATTGTACCTGCCCAACTATGAATTACTATCAGTTTGTAGACACCTGCATTCACTTATTGGAAGCACACCCAACATTCCCAAGGTCAGCAGCTTGCTGAAGTTTGGGACCTGGAGAGGCTGAGTTCTGTGACACTGGTTCTCAGGAGATGAAGTTCTGCACCAGAAAGAATCAAGCTGTCCCTGGAGCAACCTGCTCTGGTGGAAGGTGTCCCTGCCCGTGGTAAGGGGTTATAACTGGATGAGCTCCTCCTCAGGAGATGAAGGGAATCACAGCGGTGTTACCAAAACAGCAAGCCCCAATGCAAATGTCCTTCTCCATTTACCTTATTCAGGTCATATTTGTGAATATTAATTTACTGCGTATTTCCTTAATGAGAAATTCATCAATTATTTTTCCTCTTGAAGGACAAGTTGTGGAATGGTTGCCCTGAAGAATTAACACTCAACAGGGTTAAAGTGACATATGCAAGGGAAGACACATTTGGTTGCTGGTGGGCTACAGGGATTTTGAAGTGTTGGATCCCTCAAAGGCCCATGCCTTGCTCATGATCATTCCTTGGTACAAGGCTCAGCAAATGGCACAGTTTTCAGATCATGAGTCAGCGGTGACTTGTGCAACCCTTCCATCACATCCTGAGTGTCTGCAGTGTTCAGCGTTCATGCTGTCTCCACCGCTCCACCTTGGAGGCTCTGATCCACCTCTTCCCTCACAAAATTGAGTTACAGGGTAGCAGAATGGAGATGAGCAAGCCACATCTGCAGAGGATGAGAATGAAGATGAGGAGGAGGAGAACTCATCCCTCAGCTGCAGGGATGCTTGAGCCCCAACACCCACTGCCCTCCAAGCAGAGGTGGGAAGTGCAGACATACAGCAAGTGACCCATTACTGGCCAAGTCTCATCTCTCATCACTTAGCCATCAGGACTCAGTGCTGGCCTCACATTTACTTTCCCATGGTACCCTCCCCTTGCCAAGTACATGACCATCAGCACTCTGCTGTGCATGTTTATACAGCCAAGCTGACAGAAGGCTTAAGGCAGACAGGAAGCCTATGGTGTTTCAAAACACTTCACTGTCAATCTCAAACGATGTTTAATGAGGTTCCAGCTGTGAAACAATTTCCAAAGGCAGGTGTCTAACGTTACAGGACACTCAATGTTTGGGTATAGGCCTCTAACAGAGGACCTGAACAAATAAAAGAAACCACTTCACTACTTCCCATATAAAAATACAAAGACCAATTTAGCCTGTGAGTAAGCCTTTGAAATCCTATGTGAATTAGTCATTTAAAATCCTATTATTGCCTTCTCCTTTCATAACTTCAACCACTTACACCACTAATTTCATAAAGCAGTCATCATTATTGTCACAAGGTTTCTGCTTAACAAATAAAGCAATGCTCTCACACTGATTCTCCCTTATCACTGCCCTGATTTCCCACTAAAAGTTGAGAAGGGTAATATAAGTAGGCACTGGTCCACCAGAACTGCAGAAAGAGTGTAAAGTAAGATCAGCAGAGTGGCTCATGTCTTGCAGCCGAAGCCAGTGGCTCAACTAACTCAGCTGCTCAGGTACCACAGAGAAAGGCAGGAGATTAAAGACCAAGAAAGATATAATCATTTTCTGTAAAGATCATCTTGGGGTAACCAAAATTATCTATTTGAAGGGTAGTACAAGATCAAGTGGGGATATATATATATAGATAGAAAGATAGATAGATATAGATACATATATTGGTCTTGAATATGTTTAAGTGTGAAATTAGAAAGTCTGTAATCACCACACTGAATTTTAGAACCCCTCCATCAAACACAGTTGTGGAAGAAAGAACAGAAACTCTTTTAAGATGGATCTTTACAGCTTTCTGGGTGGGATTTGGTAAGAGAACAGAAAGAATCCTTAGGTTAGAAATTAAAGGCTTTGAAAGATGGTTTTCCCCACAGGGAGCTGAAAGGAGATTTGTTGAGTAGTTGCTGATGAACTTTGATTGAACCATATTTAGGCTATTAATAAATTTGGTTCTTCTGGCTGCTGGTTGCTTGAAAGAGCACAAGGACTTTTTGACTTGGAAACATTTTGCTTGCCTTCTACCAAATCAGCAGGGCTGGGACATTTGGAGAGGTGTGAAGCCACCCCCCTTTGTATTCAGAACTGTTTTCAGGATGCAGATGGTGTGGACAGTCAAAGCTACCCAGCCATCAGTTCTCAACACAGTCAAATGGGCATCACACACCACAATGCCTTGGCCATTGCAGACATTCTGGAATGCTGCTACTGGCTTTGTCCTCTTCCTTTGGTATGTTGGCATTCTAATGGCTTTAAGGTTTTTTACTGAACATAATGATTTTTTTCCATAGGGCCTTAAAAAGCTCATAGAAAATACAATTCCCAGCTCCTCAATGTTATACTGTAGGTGAAATTGCTTGCAGCAGACTAGGCACTGAAAAACAAATGCTTTAATTATACCAGCTTGATGATGCATTTTATTTAAAAGAGTCTTTCCTTTTCATTTGGCATCCACGAGTTTTACTATTACATTGATCTCACAAGAAATAAGCAGCATTTGCGGGACCTCAGGATTTTCATTATCTGTTGCTCTGTAGTCAAGACTATCCCAAGAGAGAACAAATCCAGGGGGAAAAGATACGAAGAAACAGAATAATACATTATAAGAAAAAAAAAAGGAAAAAGGAAAAGAAAAAGAAAGCTACTGTAGCCAATACTTGCTCTTTTTCCTCCGGAGCTATTAATCTCTGCAGAGCTGTACCACTGTGTTAATAAGTTTCTGGGAAAGGACTTGGCAAATCTGAAATGAATTCCAGGCCTCTGATAATGAAAAAGGCTGCAGGATCATTTGCTTACTAAAGAAAAAAAAAATAAAAAAAATAAAAAAAAAGGCTGCTTAGAATAATTTGTTTTTTAAAAGCCACAGAGAAGTCAGACCTGCCCTCAGTGAGGCTAGACTGAAGACTATTTATAGAATTTCCATAAGACTTTGTACTGGTTGCTAACATTTCATTGCAGGCAGTAACTGCTCCTTTCAGCTTCCAGCCTTCTTAACAAGCTCAAGTTATTAAACTTGCTGAAAGAACAGGCTTTCACTTATTCTTAGAGTTTGCACTCTTCAAGCTTGACGGAGATTTAACTGTAATGTAAATTACCGCGTATATAAAGCTCACAGCTCGCTGACATCACTAAAACATTATGTTTTTATAAGATAAAATATAATTAGGACATTTATTATTTTCTAGGATCTTAAGTTGCCTACAGATTTTTTGCTTAGTGTAAGCAAATTAAATTAAGCCTTGCTGAGAGCAAAACAGTATAAGCATTTGAATGTGGGACAGGAGACGGTCAGTGTTTGAAGATCAGCATTTAAGAGTAAAAGCATAGAATCATAGACTCATAGAATGGCTTGGGTTTTGAAGGACCTTAAGATCATCCAGTTCCAACCCCCTGCCATGGGCAGGGACATCTCACACTAAATCAAGTCACCCAAGGCTCTGTCCAACCTGGCCTTGAACGTTGCCAAGGATGGAGCATTCACAACTTCCCTGGGGAACCGATTCCAGTGCCTCATCACCCTTACAATAAAGAACCTCTTCCTTATATCTAACCTGAACTTCCCCTGTCTAAGTTTGACTCTATTACCTCTTGCCCCATCACTACAATCCCTGATGAAGAGATATTAGATACTCTGACATTGAAAAATCTGTTGAAAGTCTGTTTTCAAAACCCAGTATGGAAAAAATTGACCTTGAGGGGTGCCAAAGGAATAAGAAAATATGAAAACTGACAAAAGTTTGTTTCTCATCTTTGAAGCACATAATTGGTATTTTTACATTCTCCTGCTCTAATCTGTACTTAATCCATTTACACTGAAGGGCTCCTTCGTGTATTCTTACTGCCAATTTCAATCTGTTCATGTAATCCATACAACTAATTTTCTGCTTTTATTTCTGGGCCATATGAAAGCCAGTGATCTGAGCCCTTTAGGATCTGTATGTGTCTTCTGAGAAGACTTCAGATTTGTGGATTTTTGGATGAACTATAGCTTAGTTGTCATTCCCACATCTAATAAAACAATTTGTGCTTTTCAAAGTACATTTTCATTTTCACAACAGAGGCTTATTTTTGCTCTTGAGTTTTGAATACAACATGCCAGAAACCCCGTGTTTTCATAATACCAGTTTAAAACCCCATACATTTGAAACATTTTTCAGCAACCAAGTGTGAGAAGTTGAAAGAATCTGTTAACATATTGATTGCTTTGAGCAGTGCTTTAAATTAGCTTTCTGTTCCTCTCCATATGGTTTTCCATTAAATTTAAATAAATTAAAGTTCAATTATCTGGAAGAGAGGCACTGAGTCCTCCACAAGTCGCTGGATGAATTATCGCTCAACCAACTCTATGAGGAATGCATCAGGACATCTGCCTTTGGGAGCTGTGGACCTAACGCTTCCTCTTTGAGACAAGATCTCAACACAAGTGCCAAGAACACTTTCAGAAATAGCCCTGCAATTGGAATTTACTTTCTTTCTGCACTGTTATGAGGAAAAAACCAACGAAAACAAACCTGAAGTTCATCAAGCGGAGAAGCTCCGCATTGACACAGACAACAGTTTGCAGTCTGCAGAGGAGCAGCAGACATAAACAGGATATGCCACAGATGGTGTGTTTCATTCTGAAATTAACAATCATTAAAAAAGAATTTAGCTTGTATCTGCTAGTTGGCTCAGCAGGCAGAGGAGGGGAAGGAGAAGGGTGACCAGCGACCACACCAGTCATAGTTATGGGTCAAACCCAACCCATTCCCATACAGCGTAGCTTTGGGCTATATACAAAGAGGTTTTGCAAGAACTTCAGAAGAACATCTGGAGGATGCGGAGTGAGCCCAGGATGTCCTCTTTCACTATTTGTCACCTATTTGCCCCATGTTCTTTCACATCTTTCCAGCTCCGGCCTATGTACAGCAGCCCTGGTACCAGCCAGCTCTTGGGAAGGGTGAGGAGCCATTTGATCTCATGAAGAAAGACAGAAACATCATTCAGGACCTGTTGCTCTCATTCTCTTTTTCTCCTTTTGGCATGCAGAAGAGCATAAAACATATGTCTTGCAACTTCTGTCAGCAGCAGAGATGATCCCAGAAGGCAAAGCCTCCTCATTACAGTCCCTGCCTCAAAAGTCTCATTTGCCTCAGAAAGGGAATGCAGCTGTGAAAAACATCATCAGAAGGAAAAATAACTTAACAGGAGCGTGACCTATGAGAAAAACACTGCCTCAAGGAATTATGAGACAAGCCCTATTTGCAGGAGACTGGGTACCCATGATGATGGCAACCCCTGAGAGACCAGGGTGATGAGCTGGTGGGTCACGCAGGGCACATGGGCTCCATGCTAGGGTGAAGCTGGGCCATGCTGCCTGCTGTGAGCAATAGGAAAGAGTGAGCTAGAAGGGCTTGGCTGGGTTTTGAAATTATCAGAGAGACACAAAAATAGCAGCACAGCAAACCAGGGCTGGCAGTCATTTTCATGTAGTGGTTATCTCTACAGTGTAGCTCTGTGGATGTACGTAAAAAAGAAGAAAACTGAATTAGGGAACACATTCCTGTGTTGGAAGTGATGCATGCTCTCCCTGTATTGCAGATACAGCTATATCTGCATTGTGCACATCTGACATACTACATTTTTAAAATACCATACTGTATCAAGACTTTGCATGACCAGATAGTGACATTTTTGAGGGTATGCAGGGGTGCTCAGCCCTGCACTGCATTGAAGTGTCCATTTTCCTCTTCTCTCTGCCTAAATTGGGACTCTCAGCCTTAAAAGTCTGTGCCCTGCTATAAAACTTCCCATACCTCCACCTCCTTAAGCCTCACCTTCAGTGGCCCCAGACCAGTTGTTCCTTTCACTGAACGTGCATTCATCCCTCCCAGTGTTTAACCACTTTTATTATGTGAAAATACATTAAATGACTGAATTATTTGTTTCTAAACAACTTGCCCTGCAATTGCTTGTTTTACCAGGAGCCTGGGTGCCTTGCAATTTGCTTTGCACACGTGGCAGCTCCAAAGGAGCCCTTAGCAGACGGGGGTCAATGAACAAAACATCTCTTTTAGTGAGCCTTGGCATATTCACCCCCATACGAACCACAGAGGCTATTGTCTATTGTGTCGAGGCTCTGTATTGCTGTAAGAGCAGAATTATTCATAGTAATGGCTCTATCCAGTTGATAGTCTCCAGTTTTAAAATTCCCAGAGTATGCATTTATTTGAAGAGATAAGACAATTAGAGAGGTTTAAACTGGCTTTTATAAGGCTATTAAATTTCCCAACAGCACCATAAAAATTAATAAAATCAACTGCTTCTATTGTACTAAAAAACAATTAAGGAAAAACAACATTAAGGACTGGGTTTTGGTTTGAGTTTTTTCCAAGGTTTTGGTGCTGCTGCTGTTTCTGTACCAACAGGTATAAATGGGGTTTGTTCCCGGGATCGTTTTCACTCACAGTCACAGGGCTCAAGCCCACATTCAATCAGCTCCATCGAAAGCCCAGCAGCAAAGATGGGCATGGGATGTAGGGCAGGAGGAGACACTGAGTGAATGAGAGTGACAAAAACCTCAGTGCCGCAACAGGAATACATTAGTCAGTCAGTCCATAAGTCAAGATGAACGACACTTATCCTGGCTAAAGCACAACATTGCTGCTTCTGCCCATCACAACTGCATGGATTTAAGTTTTGATGATGATTTGTCCAGCTGGTATCCAGGAGGTCTTAATGTAGAAGCTTCTTCAGCTGGGTTCACTGCTGTTCCCAAATGCCTACATTCACTGGTTCTCCTCCACCATGTAGTTCTATTAAAATTTTGTGGATGGCTGTGCAAAGATGGATGCTCATCTTCCTGTGCACTCCTGAAAATGAGATTTTCTATTCCTGGAATACAGTGCTAAAAGTCTAGCTCAGCCATACAAAACCAGATCAGAGGTAGAAGCTGTCTAAATCATGCACTGCAAATTCTCCATTACATTAGTGTGGGGGGGGGGGAATCTCTTCACGTTACCTCACTCAAGCTGCTTTAATCACTTTAAATCATTTAAAATCACTTTGAATGACTATTATCAGTCATTTCATTTCCCTTGATAAGTGCCTTTTCCCCTGAAACCTTACTGCTTTCTACTACTGAGATGTTTTCAACCTGTACTTGGAACAGAACTTACTCCCTTTGGTATAATTTTCATTTTAACCTTTCCTCAATGGCCTAGAAATAATAGATTGCCAAAATTACTTTAATAGATTGGAAATTTAAACCTCACAGAGATAACCACCTAGATGATGTTATAACTCAATGATAAGGCAAAGAATAACAAATCTTAAAGGTTACTCAACTAAGACTTATGTTTTAGGGCAGCTGAAATACCGCGTATTGTTACAGCTCTGCAATTAACTAACATTACCTAGTGTTACGGTTCCACATCCTATTTAAACCCTCCAGTCTGAAATTGCTTTCTTTAATGGTAACTCTGAAGGCAGTAATTATGTGTGCAGGAAAACAAATATTTTCAATATTCCCCTATGGCGTTCCCAATGCTCCAAGCTCTCTGGTTCTCTCTCCATAACCTTCTGGGCACTGGAGGAACCACTTTTCAGTTGAAATGTTCATAATAATAATAATGTCTTCATCATTTGGAGTTGTGAGTGCAAACCATGGCAACCTGCTTAAAAATTCTTGCAGCTCTGGTAGCAAGCAGAAAATCTTCCTCAAATGGTAGAAGCAATTGGGGGTTTTCTTGCTCTCTAGTACCCAAATGACTCTATAGAGTATTTCCTAGAGAATTGCTGGGTTTAAATCATAACACCTCCTGTGACTGTTTCCTGCCCCTGCAGTCTATGGTAGGATCTCAGCAAGCTGATAGGCTTTGTCTAAATGAGTTGAAATTTGACAGCTATTATCCCACAGTCTTGTTTTTACAATGGCCTGTGTGCATAACTCCTTAAAAAAATGGTAGTGAATTTGAGCATTAGCCTCTAAATGACCAGCAAGGTTGTGAACTAGAAGAGGACAAGAAAAGTGGCTATGCCCAGGCACCTCATCCTCTTCCCCATTCACAGTTCCATCCTCACTGAGCACTGAACCAGGACAGCTTTCTCCTTTATGTATGAAAAGTCCGTGGGATTAGAGGTCCAAAGAGGCACTCTGGGGAGACATTTCAGCCAAACTTTCCAAATGGAAGTTTAACACAGATTTATGTACATGCACCCCAGACACGTGGAGCTATCAAACTGGCTTTGATCAGTGCATAGTCCCTTGCTCTGCTCCCCAGACACGGTGGCTGCCCTAAAAGATCCAATTCTGGTTGAGTCCAAAATGCTAATTCTGACACACAGGAAAGCTTTGAAGGTCAGTTCTATAGCTCTGATAGTTTCTTCCAAGCGCCTTGCAGAGTGCTTCATGGTAAATAGAGCATATGGCTCCAGAAAGGTGACCATTCTTTATCAACATTTGGACTAGATGACCTTTGAAGGTCCCTTACAACCCAAACTATTCTATGATTTTATGATTTTTGGGCCTCTAAAATTGCTGCAACCCAGTTTGAAAATAGGATGCCCAGAGCAGTAACTTTAATCCTGTGCCTAGGGCTGCATAACACACAGCTCTGCAGCTCCCCAGTACCACAGCCATCCTTACAGCCCAAACCTCAACCAGGGTAGTTGTGTCCACCCTCTACATTCCCCCAGAATGAGTTGGACCCCTGTAGCAAACCTGGTTATTTACCCCTCCAAGAATAGGCTCAAGTCTTGTTCCTTTAACAGTTATTCTTGGTATATTGCAAATGCCCGACTTCTAATGGGCTACTTGTGGTGCAAAATACCTACTAAAAATACTCGGTAATTTCAGTTCTTGGACTGAGACAACACGGTGCTAAAACATTCCCTTTGCATTGGGATTTTCACTGTTGCAATCAACAGCTACAAAGACCCAGTAACAGCATCGTGTACTTACCATCTCTATTTATCTGCATACCATTTATTTTTAGCCTGCCTTTTTCAGTTGCTAGTGGGGAGATACTGCTTTGTGCTGCACTGGGCTTTCCTGATTTATCAGTCCTGGAATCGCAGAAAATATCACTTCATTCAAGTTTATGTACTCCTCCCATGTAAAAGCTTCAGCATAGATACACGAAAGAGGGTTTTTTTCAGTTTCCATGTGATATTTATGACAAACTATTTCCAAGATTTCCCACCTCCATCAGCAGTTTTCAAATGTTATTTTCCAACTCAGGGAAATTGCGTTGTTCTACAGAGAATGGAAACAGAAGTACGCTTTATCTGACATATATTTGCTTCAACTCTCTTGAGAACCTATGAATTTGAGGTCACTAGTGACCAAACTTCCTCCCTGACACAAGATTAGTGAAAGATATTGCAGCAATTATCCTCATGGGAACTACTGAGAAGGAAGGACCAACTTTGCACAGCTTTTAAAGCAATCACAGTCATGCCTGAGCAATTCCTTATCATGGCAGGTTCCCACTTTCCCATCGCTCTTCTCCACGGATATCAAGTGCAAACAAGGTGCATAGTGCAATATTTGCTTATTTTGCACCCAAAAAAGAAAGACCTGTGGGCTTTTTCCTGACCCTAGAAGACACAGCAATCAGTGTTGAATGACTGAGAGCTAAAGCTCCCCAATCCTGTTAGGGACATCATGCTATAGGTGCTCTCCTTACATTGCTGTGCAGCTGCAGAGCTCACCCGTGTAGGTGGGGTTTTGCTCCTCAACACATATTTAGGATGATTCAAATCATCTTCAAAACCAAGCTGCTATATCGTGGGTTGACCTCAGCAGAAATAAACCGAATGCATTATGAATATACCACATGGCATTAACTCATCACAGATGTGACAGGAGGATGGGAATTTTGCAGTGTGTTTTCTGCTCTCTGGACATCCTCAAGTTATAAAAATGTCACTGAGACATTCATAGCTTGAATCATGTTTTTAAGGTGAGTTTCAATTTGGTGGACTCAAATCCTTTCCAGCAGAAAGCTTAGTTGTTACCTGTGCTACTCCATACCTGTCTGGGATGGGCTGCTGACCAGAGCACACCAGGCTGGCAGGCTCTTATGGTACGTACAGGCATGGACCCAACAACCACCTTTTGTGCCAGCTCATCTTCTAGGCTGAAGACAAGCTGCTAATGCTTCTGCATGGTGAAAATTGTCCCCAGCTGTAAATCACAATCACAGCTATCTGAACAGACACCAGTAGCATCTGATGACATCTGCTTGACAAATCCAGCATGCTGGGTATCTCATGCTTGACAACTCTACAAATGCTTTTGCATTTGTGATAATGGAAGGCTGTCAGTCATAACTCTCTTATGTCTTTGCCATACAACAGATACTTGACTTTATCATAAATAGCAGGGAGTTAACTGCTGCTCTGATGTGATCTGCTCCAAAGCTGCCCCAGAAATGTCATCGTTACTAAACTGATTGCCTGGGCATGCCTTTAGTCCTCATAACATTTACTTTAACCTGATCCTCAGTGCACAAAATGTACAAGCAATGCAAGTAGACTCTCCAGTAAGTAAATACGAATTCCAGTTAGGAAAAAATACGTCTTGGGGCAGGATCCACCCACACCCTGGGTTGATCTTGAACCATCATTCTCATCAAGTTTTGGCACATAATGTAAATCCCTGTACAGCAGTTGCAGGATATCAGTAAGGCTAAGGAAACATTGGCAAAATTTCTCTTTTTCCTTCCACTGTTTACCTCGGACATTAAAAATAATGCCTCAGTCTGCAGTGGAACATTGGAAACATGTAAAAGGTAATAGAGCCTCCCATTGAACAGTTCCGCCAAAAAGAGAGATGGAAGAGTTTCCACTCTCATCACTACTCTCCTTCTTCCTCAGCTCCAGGGACCACTAACCCACTGCAAAGGCTGAGTTTTAAGGATTAAGTCTGAGTTTGAGGTTTAAGTCATGCCAGTCCGGTTACAGATGAATGTGCATCATCTAACAAATCCAACAGCAACTGAATGCGCATCATTCAGTGGCAGCACATCAACCCCACTGGGGATAAACTGTGTTTCCTCTAAACCCGGTACGCACCCAGACAGTGGAGGTGGAGATCATTAGATCAAAATTCAGGCTGTTATTGGAGCAGGAACTTACAGATTCACTGGGGAACCTGGCACTAATTTCCACCCTGGATCTGCTGGCCCCTCTTGAAAAGCACTGCCTTATTGCTCAGCTTGGACTAACTCCACAGGCACACTGATGGCCAGAAGAATACTGCAATGCTGTGGGTGATCGCTACCCAACACTCACTTGCCATGCTGTCGTTTTGCCAGAAGTGAGATGCCCTCACTCACAAAAAGCCCTAGGTGCCCCATTTGCACTGGAGAGGGCTGGCAGCAATGGAGCTATTGACCTTGCTCCCTAAATACATTGCTCTTGCGAGTTAAATATCTGGACCACATATGAAGTATTTCTCTACTTGCCCTCATATATCAGTGAATATTAAATCACCATATTCTCATTTATATGTAAACGTCAAGGTGCTGATGGAGTCAAGTACTGTTATATGTATGTATATGAGGATCTAATTTAACTCTGTGTATTATTTCATCATTATCAGGCTGGATTCTGCTGATTTGATTCTACTGCCATTAAAAAAGAGCAGTGGAAGAGTGATGGATTTTGCTTGACGGGCGGAATGAGAATGTTCTTTCCAAACCCAAACTGCATATGGACTTGAACCATTTGTAAACATTTGTCTTGTTTACATCCAATGACAACCCAGCCTTTCTTCTACAGAAAAGGAAATACTTTCAGAACAAAACAAAAGAACAATGGGCATTTTTGCTAAAACATTAACATGTTTCTGTTGGGTTTGAAATCAGCTGAGCTTTGTTTCCAAACAAGCAAAGTAGTAGGTTATTTGATTTAAAATTAACAAGCAATGTACCTGGCTTTTTTGATCATAAGTATCTGTGTGTGGGTGAGCAAGCTGTACAGACAAGTGGTAATTCGGCCTCAAGTCTGCTCTTGTGTAGGCAGCAAACACCCAGCCTCCTGACAGGGGTGAGGCAAATCAGCTCTGAGTGTAGCCTTAAAATGCAACCTTTTCTCACCTATTGATGGTTCAAGACAGCCTGGGGAGTTTTATTGCTGTTGAGAGTAGGGACCTCTGTCAGGGGCACAAAGCAGAGCTCAGTGGACTCTCACACACAGCACAACACAGGATATGGCCAGGGGGAACCTCACAGCTCAACCTGCTCCTGGGCATACATTAAATATTAGGCATATCCCTGACCAGGACACCTTGTACTCACAAGAAGCAGCACAAGAGATCCCCCTTTGCCCCTCTCTATCAGATTCATTGATTTTTTTTCCAAATTCTATAGTGCAAAGCTACCGATTTTGTGCTGATATTTATTTGTCAGTGCCTTTTTGCTGGAATTAGTGCCTTATACATAAGGCGGGGAAAGTGATCCACAGAGGTGAAAGCTCCTGGGTATTTTCATAGATGAAATCCCAAAAGCTTTTGACATTTTGGTTTAAGGTGCTACAAAACTGTTTGTGGGTCCATTTAATTATTTGGGGAAGTCTTTCTTATTGCAGAATTACCAACTCATGTAATTCATTTGTGAAAGGGAAAAAGTCCCCATTGCCAATTCAGCTTCACCATCGCTACTTCAGTGCTTGATACCATAACTTTAAGGATGAGGCCAGGAGCTGCTGGTGATTTATGTCGTTGGGACTGCCTTAAGCAATAAGATTTGGATGGCTCCCAGCACTTGTGTGGGTGAGGAGACAGTGATTGAGAAGTTCATTCCTCTGCTTGAAAGGGAGCCTACACTGATTTAAAGATGGAAGGCTAATTTTGCGATCCCTTCCACATTCCACTGGTGGCTTACTATATGATCTTATTTCTCAACTGAGATGGAAAGCCTTCCTCTTCAGATAAATCCAGTTAAGTAAAGCTGGAAGCTTTTCTATTCTGCCTGATTTTAATACCCCTGACTTATTGGTTGTGGACTTAGATATAAGTCACACTGTAGCTTCTCTATGGTTTAGACAGAATTTAAATGTTGAAGGCTTGCTGCATGCTGTCTTTAAAATGGACAGATTTTAGGTCCTGCTTAGAGCAGTTCTTGTTCAGGTGTATAAGCAAATGACATAAATCAGGATCCTTTGTTATTTAGCAACACAACATGCCCTTGGCTTGTCAGTCTTGCAGAGACTCTCACGCCTTTCTGGGATGCTTGCTTTTGGGGCAGCTGGAGGATCTGAGAGGCTGCCATGCAAAGTGAGCGTGAAAAACATGCACAGTCCTTTTGTCTTCTCTGTGAGTCATTCCAGCCTTCTTGTCTTTCCCTTCCTGTATCCCAGAAAAACGGGGGAAGGCTGGATTCCAATCAGACAAGCACCAGCAGGAGCAGGTAGGCAAGGCCAGTGTGCCCACAGGCATGTGTGTAGCAGGTTTGAGGATGGGACCTGCTGAAATAGAGCACAACGAAGAAGGAAAAGATCTGGAGAGATCAGAGCAAGGGCTGGATTCCCAAGGCAGAAGTGGTTAGCACATAAAATGCAATTGCAAGCTGAAACCCTCTTCTTGGTCATGCTGCCGGTTATAGCAGCCTTCATTATGGCTATTTGTTTTAAGATGCTATCCCTGTGGCAAGGGAAGATTAATCCATTCCATTCATTGTGGTAGAAGATCTGTTTTTAAAGCCAACAATGCTGTGTAATCACCACAGGCTCTCTGCAATTGCTGGAGAAGCATCCCCAGCACCAGCCAAGCCAGTTATCATATAATGGACCCTTACTCTAGGTGTCCCTCCTCATAAATGACTAGGCTCAAGCACTGCAATGTACTTTCATATGGTGTAAGAGATGGAGAAAACTGCTCTGATGCCCCTGTTCTAGTG